TACTTCAGCGTTGCATTTAGTTGAGGAGGATGTCATTAACAGATGATGAAAAATAACTCATTGCAGATAACATCAAGGAAAGATCAGCAGCAGTATTGGATGCATAAAGATAAGCCTTACAGTTTTGTCACGGTTAAGGAATTTGCTGAAGCTTTTCAGTCTTTCCACGTCGGATGTAGAATTGGAGATGCGCTTTCAACTCCATTTGAAAAGTCCCAGAGTCATCCGGCTGCTTTGAAAACTAGAAAGTATGGCGTTGGAAAAATGGAGCTGCTTAAGGCTTGCTTCTCAAGAGAATGGCTTCTCATGAAAAGGAACTCATTTGTCTACTTCTTCAAGCTCGCTCAAGTGAGTTCTGTCTGCTGACTTTCTTCTGGTTTTTTCTTCAAAAAGGTTGTCCGTTCGATTGTGATTTTTTTATTTTTTGTTCTCACTTTTTCTTCCCATACCAGCTTACAATGATGTCAATAATTGCGATGACACTCTTTTTTCGGACTGAAATGCACAAGAACTCAGTATCTGAGGGAGGAGTTTATTCGGGTGCCTTGTTCTACTCCTTGGCTTTGATGATGTTTATCGGTATGCCAGAGATTTCCATGACCATAGGAAGCCTTCCTGTGTTTTACAAGCAAAGGGACCTCCTATTCTATCCTTCATGGGCATTTTCTCTTCCCTCATGGATCCTTAGAATTCCTGTCACACTCATACAGACCACTATTTGGGTGGCCCTCACATATTATGTAATCGGATATGATCCTAATGTTGGAAGGTAACACAAGTTATAAACAGAAGGAAAAAAATCTAGACACATTTTCTAATAACTTATAAAGAAATTTATTCTGTTTCAGCTGATGCAAACTGCTGTATCTTTTCTGCAGGTTGTTCAAACAGTATCTTCTGCTTGTTGCTGTGAGCCAGATGGCTTCTGCATTATTCCGTTTTATTGGTGGACTAGGAAGAAGCATGATTGTTGCTAACACCTTTGGGTCATTTGCACTGCTCGTACTATTCGCATTGGGTGGCTTTGTCTTGTCTCACGGTATGGTAACTTACTTTGGTTGTCTTGGAGTTTAATCTATTTATCAACATTAGTCCTTCTAATTATAATGTGCTAAATATTTCCTGTTCAATGCCACAGGTGAGATAAAGAAATGGTGGATATGGGGTTACTGGATTTCACCATTGATGTATGGACAGAATGCAATTGTAGTTAATGAGTTCCTTGGGAAGAGCTGGAGTCATGTAAATCACTGAACTAGCCATTTCTATATTCATGAATTAATATCTGAACAATCAACTGATAATGTACTTTTATTCTGAAGGTTCTCCCAAACTCAGTCGAACCACTGGGAATCGAAGTTCTGAAATCGCGTGGATTCGTTACGAATGCATATTGGTATTGGATAGGAGTAGGTGCATTGGGGGGATTCACAATACTATTCAACGTTTGCTACACTCTGGCTCTTGCTTTCCTGAACCGTGGGTACCTTTACCCTATCCAGTTCATTGTTTCTTTTCAAGTATATACTAAGTGAGGCTAATGTTTTTATGTACTGCAAATAATATTGTGCAGCATTTCGGAAGTCTCAGGTTGTTATATCCAAGGATTCTGAAAGCATTAAACCAGGAGTAACTGGAGGAGCTATTCAATTATCGAAACATGGAAGTAGGCACCAAAATGATACAGGTAATAACTGAACTAATATGTGTTTTCTGGTAAGGAAATTTGTTCAATGTTTTCTTGCTGCTAATTGAATTTTAACAACAACCAGAGATCATCTCTGAGGCTAACAATCAGAAGCAAAAAGGAATGATTCTACCATTTGAACCTTTTTCCATCACCTTTGATGAGATCAAGTACTCGGTTGACATGCCACAAGTAAGATTAGTTCGGTGACACAGAGACAAATTGATTTTTGGAAATACTGTCCTGAAGCAAGTCTAATCTTATTTCCAATCTGCACTTTGCAGGAAATGAAAAATCAGGGCATTCTTGAAGATAAATTGGAGCTTTTGAAGGGAGTGAGCGGTGCTTTTAGGCCAGGTGTTCTCACAGCCCTAATGGGTGTCAGCGGTGCTGGTAAAACCACTCTGATGGATGTTCTGGCTGGTAGGAAAACTGGGGGATATATTGAAGGAAACATCACAATTTCTGGCCATCCCAAGAAACAAGAAACTTTTGCTAGAATTTCAGGGTATTGCGAGCAAAATGACATCCATTCTCCACACGTTACAGTTTATGAATCCCTGCTCTACTCAGGCTGGCTTCGTCTACCTCTTGAAGTGGATGCTGAAACCAGAAATGTAGGCTTTCCATTACTCATATCTGTGCTAGGCTTCTATGTTTCATGTTTCTCCTAAAGAGATTTTGTGGTCATTAGTTTGAGATAACAACAGCTCCATGGACTAGAATTTAGATATCCATTACACGAAACCTTGAAAAGCTGTGTTAATTTCTTCGATCAAAATTGCTTTGCAGATGTTCATCGAGGAAGTCATGGAGCTTGTGGAACTGAATCCATTGAGGCAAGCATTAGTTGGACTGCCTGGTGTAAGTGGCCTGTCTACTGAGCAAAGGAAGCGGCTGACCATTGCAGTTGAGCTGGTGGCGAACCCTTCTATTATATTTATGGACGAGCCTACTTCAGGTTTGGATGCAAGAGCTGCAGCAATTGTTATGAGAACGGTTAGGAACACTGTGGACACAGGAAGAACAGTTGTGTGCACCATCCATCAGCCAAGCATCGACATATTTGAATCTTTTGATGAGGTTAGAAATGTTAGCAGGACATTAGAGTTGCTCCTTTGTTGTCAATTCTTCTCCACATAACAGTGACACACTTGACATGACATTGCAGCTATTTCTAATGAAGCGCGGAGGACAAGAGATATATGTTGGGCCATTGGGTCGACATTCTAGCCAGTTGATCAAGTATTTTGAGGTGAGAAATGATGGTTTACGAAATAATACAAGCGCTACATATATATATATACTTGAATCTTCATCCATATTACCTTCTTGCTAATTTACACAAATTTCTTTGTCTAGGGAATTGAGGGAGTTGAGAAGATTAGAGATGGTTATAACCCAGCAACTTGGATGTTAGATGTTACCTCTTTAGGACATGAAGCAGCATTGGGGATAGATTTTGCTTCTATATATAAAAATTCAGAGCTATACAGGTAAATTCACTTCTTAGCTCCTTCGGTACCACGTAAAACAGAAAATCATGCATTACCATACCAATGTCTTTGACTCTTAAATTAGCAATTAAATTTCTCTGATATGTGGCCGTATCTTTCAGGAGAAACAAAGCACGTATTCAGGAATTAAGCACCCCTGCTCCTGGTTCAAAGGACCTCTTCTTTCCTACACAGTACTCGCAGTCGTTTTTGGTCCAATGCTTGGCTTGTTTATGGAAGCAACATTGGTCATATTGGCGTAATCCTTCCTATACTGCCGTAAGACTTCTCTTTACAATCGCCATAGCCTTGATTTTTGGTTCAATGTTCTGGAACCTCGGCTCGAAAACGTAAGTTACATCTTCATTCCAGCTAAGCTTCATTCCTGAACATTTGCTACAGGGCTACTTAGAACGATACAAAAGTCCAGACTCTTCCAAGTTTGTCTGCCTTCTAAATTAGTTCTTGTCTTAAATTACAGGAAAAAGAAACAAGATCTTTTTAATGCCATGGGTTCCATGTATGCTGCAATTATCTTCCTCGGAATCCAAAATTCATCCTCTGTACAGCCAGTTGTGGCTGTTGAAAGAACTGTATTCTACAGGGAGAAAGCTGCTGGAATGTATTCATCCATGCCATATGCATTGGCACAGGTACAAACTTTCCCACAGCACAAATACGAACTTCAATTTTATGAAATCTAAACAGAGACTAAGTTTCTTTCCATTTTTTGTTACAGATCCTGATTGAGCTTCCATATATTTTCACCCAATCTGTGGTATATGGTCTAATAGTCTATGCCATGATTGGATTTGAATGGACTACTGCTAAGTTCTTTTGGTATCTGTTCTTCATGTTCTTCACACTGTTATACTTCACCTTCTATGGCATGATGACTGTTGCTGCAACACCAAACCAACACGTTGCATCCATAGTTTCCTCCGCATTCTATTCAGTGTGGAATCTCTTTTCAGGATTTATAATCCCAAGACCTGTAAGTGATTTCTACTCACAACTTCTCCTTACTGCATTCTAGCAGCACGAGAACTAATTTTTCTTCATCTATATGTCTTCTTTGGCTCTAAACAGCGGATTCCTGTATGGTGGAGATGGTATGCTTGGATATGCCCAGTTTCATGGACTTTGTATGGATTAATTTCTTCACAGTATGGAGATATAAAGGAAAATCTTGATACAGAGGAAACAGTCGAAGATTTTGTCAGGAACCATTTCGGTTTCAAACATGAACTTTTAGGAGTTGCCGCAGCAGCAGTTTTTGGATTTGCCACAGTATTTGGACTCACCTTTATCATGTCCATTAAGTTTTTCAATTTCCAGAGGCGATAAGATATCTGCAAAATTATTTCTAGTTCAGCTATCAAAAGTTCTCTGTATAGTTTTTTGTACTATAGGGTACTATCCCCATTATAATCAGATAAGAATTTAAGAGAAGAAACATGTCCAGCTACCACCTGCACACGCACATGTATATATATACATATACACACCAATACTTGATAAAAGTGAAGATATTCAAATCATTTTGAGAGTGTTAATTCAGAATTCCATTCTCAATCTCATTTTTTATAGGTAGACTACCTTAAATGTTGTTGCAGAACCATCTGACTGAACACAGCTATGTTCTGAATGGTAATGATCTATAAAAGGAAAATCATTTTTAATATTGGTTAATTTACAATAGAGAATCACATAGAAAATCTAGTTAAATTAAATAAATTAAAAAAAAAAACAGAAACTGAAAAATAGAATTACAGATCATCTCAAGCCAGTGGTGCTTTTAAGTTATAACAACAGGACATGTCTAATATCCTGTAGTAGGATGTTTCAATCATGTGTCTATCTATAGTACTTTCGAATGACACAAACTCAAGCTTGAGTATGGCAATGACAAGTCATCAGGGCAGATGAATCTTGTTGCTGCTTACGAAACAAAGCATGGAATGAATTCATGTTGTGATGTGTCTTGAACAAATAGAAGTTGTCTGATTCTTTTGGTGCACCTACTTGTATCTTAGTAGCTCACCTTTTGATGATCAGTCACATGACCACATATGTGACTTGGTTTGAAAACTCCTTTGTTTAGCTAAGTTTCTCTACTTCTTCCTATAAATAGAATGCAATGAGTTATTTTGCAGAGGCAGCAGAGCTTCCATATATATATATATATTAGAGAGAACTTTTCGATGATGCCGTCAAGTTGTTCTCAGCCAAGAATAAAAGATAAATAAAATTGATTAAATTCCATAAAAAATTGATTAAATAGAGGGGGGAAACAAAATTACTACAGCTCCACCAAGCTTCGACCGACGAATTAAATCACTAACTACTACTAGATCCAACCAGATCCAAACCAAATTGAAGCAATTGCCAAGACGAAAGCCCTTAAGCCCACCAATCCCTTATGGAAAACCACTGGAGCTGCAGAACCTGAGGGTGTCGAATTAGCAGCAATGCTACCAGATGGTGGCGGCGGCAAAGGGTGAACAAGGATAGTAACCTTCATGCCATTGAAACATTGCCCATTCCCACAAATGAAGTAGTATCTCTTGGCCTTGTTAAGAGGTATGAAATCTTTGCCACTAGTCCAGTTGCCTAGGGCTCCCTCTGTTGTACAGTTGTCATACCCAGTCTGGTTCACTTCGAAGACATTGTACTGTGTCTTTTGGTACCTAAAAGCTACATTAACAAAAAGAAAGTGAACACTTCAACTATAAATGAGAACTGGGTCTTCATCTTCTAGCCAAACTTAAATGGATCCAGTATAAACACACACCTGACGCGTATATAGAGTTAAGGAGAGAAGGGAGGGGGGGCTTACAGATAAGGTCACCGACATAGAAGGTTTGGTTGTTTTCCCAGAGAGTGTAGTTGATACTAGGGTTCCAGCCTTTGTTAGCACCGACGATGTGGTCAGTAGCGGTGGTGGCGGTGGCAGTGAAGAGGATGAAGAAGCAGAAGCAGATAAGCTGAGCTGAGCTGGACACCATTGTGCAGTCCCTTGTCATTGTTGCCGTTGCTTTCTTGCTTTCTCTTTTTAAGAAAGAAGATTAAAAGAGAGTGAGGATGATGGAGCCCACTTTTCTTACAATAATTGAACAGGGCATTCCTCCCTTATAAGATCTAACAAAATCTTGCTAACGCTTTAAAAATTTGATTTTTTAAACAAAAAACAATTTATTTTTATATTTTTAAATTATTTTAATATGTTAATATCAAAAATAATTTTCAAAAAATTAAAAATAATATTTTAATATATATTAAAAAAAAAACCTTAATAAAAAATAACCACCACTATATTTTAAAACATCCAAATAAAAGAAAAGAGCAATAACTGCCTAGCTAGTTTTAAAAATAACTAAACACCACAAGCATCTAATGCTAATAAGTTATGTTCTTAAATTTATAGCTACCAAAGGAGGACCGTTGTAAATAAAACAACACTCACTCGGAAGATTCACACCTTTTTAACCTACACGGCCATATATGAGTGTTTTGGTATGTTAGCGCATTTAAAAAAAAAAAATTGTAAAATAATAATGTAGAAAAATAATTAGAAATTTCTCATAATTAAGAGAGTTGATGAATACCAATTGATATTCATGACTCCCGTTTTACGGATGGTACAAGGTAATTCTTTAAATTTCATTTGTTTTTGTATTTTAAAATATTTTTAAAAAATTTATTTTTTTACTTTAAATTAATATTTTTTTAGTGTTATTATATTATTTTAATGATGTATTGATATTAAAATAATTTTTAAAAAATAAAAAAATATTATTTTAACATATTTTTAAATAAAAAATACTTTAAATAATAATCATTATTACACTTTATAATACACGGAGTAGACATTCAATGCATAGTATGACCTTGTTTCATTCCGTGTGCCTGTATTTACTGCCTATAATCTGTTCTGTTTCTGGATTCGTGTGATTTAGCCTTTCAATCATTCGAGTTTAATGTCTGGTCATTTGAGATTAGCCTGAACAACCAGGATTACTAGCCGTTCAAGCCTGGCTCGAAGGACCAGGGTCTCTTGCCGTTTGGGCCATGCGAGAACGGGTAGAATATTTTTGTATATTTTCTACTCTCGCTGCAGGCTTGGCAATATATTGCACTCCTGAGCTAAAACAGGACTGCTTCAGTCTGAATTTTTTGAACCATCTAATCAAGAAAGATTTGAACTTTCGATTTCATGAAGAGGCCGGCCACGGCCATACATGCGGTAACGTGAGAATTGGATGCCAGAGACGGGGAGGTGTGAAAGCAAACTGCTGGGAAAGCTTAAACTGAAGCAGAAAACTTTCGGCTTTGTTTTTTTAACCTGATCAAAACTATTTTACACCACTCATAATCTTTCATCCTTTTTTTCTGCATCCTTTCCTACTACCGAATTCACCTTCATTTTCCCTCTCCCAATCAAGATAGTGCCTGAATATCTTATCATAAAAGAGACAAACCATTGAGAAAACATTCACCCCGCTCTAGAATAGAGTGGTAGATGGTCCTTTTATTTGCGAGAGGGAGAGAGCAAAATAAAAATAAAAATGAAGCTTCATTTAATACCATCATGAAGGCCAATCCTGGAATCGACATAGACAAATACATCATTTGATTTTATAAAAAATATACATCATTTGATCGCTGTCTTGACCTCTAATATTGAGCGACAAGTTGAACAAAAATAATCAAGAAGATTTGGCTGCTACTTGTGTTTCATGCACTCATCGAGTCATCTGATACACTTTATGCAAGTTGCACAATCAATAATCTTTAACCATCACGAATAAAACTCGAGGGAAGTCTTTAAAACTACTCAAATATCAAGGCATGAAAAAGGTTGATGTACGGTTAACTCCGTTCCATCAGCTCAATAGCCTTCATACAGTATATAAACAACCACCTCTATAGGTATTTTCTTGCAAGAGCCCGAACTTTGGTGTCAAAATGCGAAGATGTAATGCGGGAACCAGGCAAGTATAGGGGGTTGAGAAGAATCTGCAACAACCAACATTTTAGATTTTATCAAAACAAAGGAAAAAAATAAACAACATCTAGCATTTCAGTCACAGATGAATAACAAGCACGTGATTCTCAGCTGGCTACCCTGATAAAAGAAATAAAAAAAATCCCAATTGAACACTCTCTCCACGGGAGAAAAAACCATGAGCCCATACAGTACCACCATCTCCATGCTCACTTTAGCCAATACGAGACCATTGGCTCTACAAACACTAGTTGCATTCATTTGTATCTACCAAACTATAAGCTCTGCTGCTACTTGTTGGGAGATCTGCACTATTTATCACGCATTGATCTAAAGGCCTCCATTGGCCTACACATGAGATATTTACATTATGAGTGAACACCACCTGCAACACAAGCATCTAAGCTTTTGGGTTATAAGTCTATCATTGTATATCAGCCACTCACTCTCTTATTCTTAATTAAGGTGCGAATTTTTCAATAACTCACAAGTGCATATATTTCAACAGATTTTGTAGCATTCGAGGAACAAAAGTCACAGCAAATTGGGACAAGCATGACCAACAATGAAAAATGCAGGAAAGATGTCAAATCAAATCTAAATTCCAACAAGATAAGGACTGCAGATTCCCTCATAAAATTGGAATAAAATGGGTTTGAGGTGCTTTTAGTAGACAGCGGTATCTTCTGGATCTTGTACCTCAATATGATTGTGAAATGCGTAAACTGCCTAGGTTTGTTTGTTAGTGGTTACCATCTCATAATACCATGAAACTTTGGCATAAACAGCTAAATAAGTATAATTTCTGAGCATATAGAAATATCCATAATCTTAACACAAAATAAAGACTTGAACAAATCAGCATCCATGTTGAACAGCACATTTACCAATGAGAACATGTTGCATGTTAAAGTTCCAAACAGTAGAAGCAAGAAGTGGTTTACCTTTATATACAGCTCATGAACCTCCTGGAAAAAGCTTTTGATTCCATCATCATTGCGAGAGTCATGAAGTAGCATAAATCTCGTATGTAAGATAAGTCAAGGATAATATACACCAAAAGATAAGGCAATATACATAACATAAACCACCTGTTGTTGCTATAGCATATAAAATCACATATACAAAGGATATGACCAGCTGTAACATAAACTGACACCACCATATCATTAAACCTGTCAATTGCCTTCAAATACCTGCGAAAAGGATGCATTCAACAAAATTCTTATGAGGCGCCATAAGAAATAAAAACCAGAGAGAGAGAGAGAGAGAGAGAGGTCATTGTAGACATGCATTGATTGATTCAGATATATTTGCACGTTAGAAATTACATGGCACTGGTGGTCCATGCAAGATCCTGAACAATATCCAAAGCTGCATGCAATATAAATTGATGCATCTGTGCAGCATCTTCCCTCTGTCATCAAGTAATGGGCTGAGTGTTAATCACAAGTAGCTTGTGAGGACATCAAAATACAGCCACAGAACATATCAAAATAATAAAAAGATGACAAAAATGGTGTCCTTAGAAAAGCTAACAACTTCACCATGAAATAATGTAAGAATAGATGTACTCCAACACGTATCACAAATTTGATATTAACGGTGCATGCAGCACTAGCTTTTGCTTTTTCTTTTTCTTTCATTTCCGTCCTAGATGCTTCTATATGAAATTGAGAAGTCCATTTTATGACATAAATGGATCCTAGAACCTTTCCATAAGATCATAAGCACCAAATTGTGCAAAATACAGTAATATATCTTCAAGTAGATCACTAATATCTAAATCAATGACGTCAAAGGTCTGGTGAAAAAATTATTCCAAATCCCAGCGCCATTAGCTTTGAAGCAAAGGCTGTACCAAAAGAACTTTTGGATGTTCTCTCTTATGCAGCCCAATAATCCTAATGCCCTTACTTCTATGTTTGGAAATTTGATATACAAACATAGAAAGAGACTTCACATGAAAAACAGCAACATTGGAAATATCAAAGAGATAACGAAACACAACAAAAACAAAACATAATTTCTATATCATGGCACATTGGAAATAATAATTCAAGCTAATAAAATCAATCACATACATTTCATTTCGCAGAATTTGAGTTTCCAATCAAACAAGCAAAGAATAGATAAATAGAAAAGATAAAAGAAGAAAAGATGTTCATACTTTAGTAGCAGATCCAACTTCAGCTTCATATATAGGGATATCATTCCTGCTCACAATTATAAAACAAGCTGTGGTTGCCATCCTCAATTATCCTATCAATCACAAGCTCAAAATTCAATAACAACAAGTACATAATAATGCACCATTTAGTAACCAAGTAAAACAAAAAATTATCGTAACCCAGTATACAAATCACTTTCGATAACTGTTAATTCAGCTCATATTTTCCAAAGACCAAAAAAGATTCAAGATCTAGAAAATTTTCAATATTTCTATTTCCTTTTCAATCTCCACAGCTTTCTTGAAACCAAACAGCAAAGAAGAATTTTGTAGAAATGATTCGAAAAAACACCAAGAAATGAATCTAAAATCAGACGGAAAGATCATAAAAGAGAGTGGAATGAACCAAAAGCATACCTTCACTCGGGAAGTCTTGGCACCATGAAAGAAAAGAGCGTTCTTCTTCTCAAGTCTATTTTATGTTTTCGTTTCCTGATATTGAACGTGGGCCAAGCCCAAAAATTCTTTATGTATATGACTCGGCCCAAATCTAAGAACATGGCAAGCAGGAGCCTAACGCTCAATAGTCAAAACAGCTAGGAGAGGAAACCTGGAGAGAGAGAGTTTGCTGAGGAAGTTAGCAAGTGAAGAAAATGGGAAGCGAGGCAAAAAGCAATGGTATTGCCAACAGTGAAGGATTCAAGTCAAGAGTAAATCGTTACTTGCATAGTGGAGACACAAAGCATGTCATGGCTGGCATGGTCATCATCACTCTTGTCTTTGGTGTCCCTTGGTTCCTCATGAACAGAGGTTGGTTTTCTTTTATTTTGATTCTCTACCATATATCTATCTATGCCTTTAAATCGATTGTGTTGCCTTGATATCTTTTTTGGATTGGTGGGTCAATGATGAAAAGGAAATGAGAAGTGAGAGGAAGTGAAAATTAGAATATTTTTACAGTTTTCTTTACTGGAACGTTGCTATGTTGATGCTGCTTTGTGTTAATTTTTTGTTTGCTAAATGGAAAGTGCAAGGGAAGGGAAGGGAAGGGAGGGTATTTTCAAAATTTTAGATTTTTTTTTTTGTTTTATTGATTGGGAAGATGATCTACGGTTGAGTTACAGAGAAGTATTGCTTTGTGTTCAAAAGTTAACTATTCAAAGTGCTGCAGCTGTTGGATTTGATTTGTTTGGTTCACTGCTTCTTTCTCTTTGTGCTAAAGTTTATATTTATGGGTTTGTTATTCTCCTCTTTCTTATTCTCGTCCGTAGGAAACAAAAAAACTGGTTCATCAAAGGTATTCTATTTCTAAAAGAAATAATAAATAATTTTTCAAAATCAAAAAGAAATCCAATTCTATTATTTGGATGTAGAGACGTATATGAATTAAATGAAACTAAAAACGAAAAAGATTCACCAATCAAATTAGAAACTATGATTTAAGTTGGCTGTAATTATGTTTGGACTGAAGGGATTAACTCAAATTGTCGGAGTTTGTTGCTGAATTAAGTTGGGATCCTTGAGTATGCGTTCTTAACTAGGGTTTTATGATGTAAAAAGAATTACTTAATCAGAGAAGGGGGCAAATGTTAGGAGGACAAGTAGGACTTCTATGGTAAGGTGGCATGGTTATCTTGTCATTACCATTGATATCAGCCCTTTTTGGTCCATTTTGGGAATGAGGATAGGTGGTCACTGTAAATTTCAATCCAGTTGCAATGTTTGGTCCAGATTGTGAGATAGATTAAAGCTTTATGGATCTAAGGTCTTATACATGAAAGTAATAATACTTCTTGTTCTGGTTACTTGAGGGAGTAGTCCTTGTCATCTAGATTTTTTTTTCCTCTTCTTTCTTTGTTCATTTTCATTAATTAGGCTCATGGAGTGTCCTGAGTTCCTTAGTTAGAGATATCTTCCTTAGTTTTAGGAACTTGATTTTTGTAGATGTGTTCTTTCTGCATTTCTTTGGTCCTTTTTTCTTCTGCAGACATGAACATTGTCCATGCATGATCTCCTTTCGACCACATCATGGACATTAATGTTGGCTTGGATAGCCTTATTTTGAACTAGTTTCCACCAACCAACTAGATCATCTCCAGAAATCATGTTAGCATTTTATTCACTCCTTGAAATTTTCATCTTTTTCTCTTCATAATTACTTTTTCTTATTTATTTCAAGTTCAAGAGAAAATCAAACTTCTGCTGTAGGTTCAAGTGAGCAAACCAGTGATACTTTCAAATATGTTGTACCAAAAAACTGGATCAAAGAGGATGGAGACTTGGAGTTCAAAGAGTAATATGCTATAATTTAAGCAAGAAAGGACTAAAAATGCTACAGTATGCTAGATGTGCTGCAGTTTGCCAAGTTTCCTTGATCGGAAGTATACCAAGTAGGGCTTTTCCATCTTTTCTTTCGAGGTGATTGTTGAGAGTAATCTCAAAGGATGTCACTTAGGGCCTATTTGTTTTTACATTTCAAAAGCACTTTTAAAAAAAAAATTATTTTTTTATTTTTTTCTTAGCTTCATTTTTTTTTTCAGATTATTTTGAAGTGCTAATATTAAAAATAATTTTTAAAAAATAAAAAAATATTATTTTAATATATTTTTTAGCGAAAAATACTTTGAAAAGTAACTACTACCACACTCTTGAACACCTCCATAAACCTTCATGGTGTTGAACTATGCAAATACCATCTCATAGTAAAAAAATGCTTTATTTGATACCAGATCAATCCAGGTTCCTATTCTGGCATTGATGCAAATGCCTGCAGTTAGTGCCACTATTCCAAGGCACCTCCATACAAGCAGCAATTGGCTGCATGTATAGATACTATGCTGATCAGGGATCATTGAAAGATAAGTTAAACCTGTAGTAAGTAGTAAAATGAATGCAGTGGGATTCCTTGTGATGCTGATTGCTGAGGTTTGTGCTGTGCTCATCTTGTGAATTTATGACTTTTTCATAAAGGCACTTTTAGACTATTGTCATGGTTATTTTTTTCTGCTTGAAATGAAAGGCTAATTGTGTAATGTTAGTCCATCAGGATTTTCCTTTTGAGAAGCGGGTGTCATATTTGCACGTCGGTTTATCAATTTCATTGTTGTTTTGCCCGCAAAAATATCAGCTGCTATTAACTATGACAATCTCTTCTCCCATAGGAACAAAGCACTCGTCTCATCAAGATTACATGGAAAAGGCTGATCAAGCAAGGCGTGACAGACTTTCTTCAGGTTCTGCTGCTCCATGATCATTGTGTGTGATCAGTTTGACAGTGGAAAGGGTTTTGGTGATTCACTTTTCATTTGCCTGCTTCGGCCATGGCTAAGCTTCACGTTGAGGAGCGGGTCTGTATTTCATTTTGTAGGATGCGATGTGCAAATGCTTATGAGATGAAAACTTGAAATTTTTCTGAGTTGGCACATCCAAATAGAAGTACTACTTGGATTCTTGTTGGCTTATCTCCAAAACGATATCGGTAAGCTGGGTGGAAATAAGTTGCATCTACAGATATGGCGACTCTTACCAATCTCGAATTTGATTTGTCAATTCCGAGGGACAAGTAGGGATGCTGTGGAACGATCTAACAGTTCCATGTTCTTTTTCATTTTACTTGCAAGAGGGGATGAATAAAAGATCCAATCATCTCGAATACTGCTTCAAAGAAGTTAACAGTTCTAAAATAGAGTAAGAGGACTTTTGCTTTGATCTTCTAGTTTAAACAGATAATGACATAATCATTATAAAAGAAAAGAGGTGGTTTGGTGATTGTCAATCCGGTAAATTCCTCATCTTTTCAATGTGAAATGCAGTTGAGTGTTGATAACAGTTTAGCAACATCATGAACTTCAGATGAATTATGTAGCCTAAGTTGACAGGTTCTAGGAAAAATACTAGTTTTTTTAGCTGTTCTATACTGCGGGTTAGATTATTGTTAATCTTATAAAACGCTAGGAAGTCAAAAAGTTCAGTGAACGGCGGATGAAGAATTTAAAATAGCCAAGAATTTTTAAAACGAAGCGGCTCATACTAATGATTTTAAAGAAGAAAAAAAAATTAAAACTCAAATAATTGATATAATTGGATCTGTTAAGTCAAGTTAATCTAATAATATAATTAAAAAATAACAATAAATAATAAATTAAAAAACCTAATCTAATAATATAATTAAAAAATAACAATAAATAATAAATTTAAAAACTTGAGATGATCTATATTATTTTTAAGATTAATAAAAAATCATATGGAATAAAAAAAAGCTTTTTTTTTTAAATAAATTAAATGTTAAAAGATAAAACCAAGAAAATTTAATCTTAAAAAGAAAAAAACAAATGATTTAATACTTGACACTACATTTACGGGTTAAATATTTTTTATATATCCTCAAAAAATATCAAAATAAATAAAGATGATATATCAAGTAATTTATTTAATTTAATTAAAAACATTTTTTAAAAATAAGGTAAATCTAATAAAGAAAAATATATAAAAAGTTGTGAGATAATCCATGTTATCATCAAAAGCTATGAAAAATTCTATAAAAAAAAATTACAAAATTCAATATTCAATTAAATCAAATATCAAATAAAAAAATAAAAAAAATATAAACTTAAAAAAATAAAAAAAATAAGTAATTCTTTTAAACTTAGGTTACTCCCTTAAATTCATAATTCGTTAAATTCTAAATTTAGAATTAATCAAAAAGCTTTATTTAAGGTTGAAATAAAAAAACTATCAAGATTAAAAAATAACAATAAAAAAAATAAAATCTAATATGTAAATAGAATGAAGGATGAAATTAGATAAAAAAAAGTTCAAAAACCATCTAAAATAAAAATAAATAGTAATAAAAAAAATAAAACTAAATTTCAAATGAAAAAAATAAAAAATAATTTATTAAACAAATTTAAATAAATAAATAACAATTAAAAAAACTAAAGATGAAATCTTACAAGAAAAAAACTTTAACGATTATCATGAAATGTTGCAAAGATAAGCACGGAAATCAAGAACAAAAAAAAATAAAAACATAAACCACCACATGTTCAAAACAACGGAACGACGCGCTCGCTGGGGCATTTCTAGAACATGCAAGTAGCTTTTTTTATTATTATTTGTTTATTAAGAAAATTACTAAATCACCCATGCAACCAGCCGATAATTACAAATAAACCAATATAAAAATACCAACATGCCCTTAACACTAACCCTAAACTTCTAAATTCCAAAGGCAAAAAAATAGTTACATTGTGCATGTCAAAAACGAAATTCCAAACAAGCCCGACCATATTTAATTTTTTTTTTAAAACTTTTATAGATAACCACGTAATTTAATTGTGTAAAAAGATTAAGATACCACTAAACAAATAACAAATGAACCTCGCAAAAATATCATTCCACCCCTATAAGACAGCCATGAGTGGTTTTTCAAAAAGTAGAACATGG